TCCTAAAATAAAGCATAAAGGCTTCTTCCATGTCCCACAGGGCAATTCTTTCCAGGAGGGGAGATTCCCTGGGGTCCCCCTTGTTGGATCTGGACACCTAGCAAAGGTGCTTCTGTATGCGGAGGGGCTTTTTATTATTATTATTATTATTATTATTATACTTGGTTTTTATGCTGGCTGGTGTTTTTCATTCGTCAACTTTGCAGACTCTTTTAATCCATTTTTAAATACTATAACACTTGTGTGTCTTTTATTTATTGTTAGGGATGCTTTGGTTTATGTTCATAACTGCCAGGAGCACTATTTTACCAAGAAAAAAAGTGGGGTGCACTTATTTAACAAATACATCTAGAAATTAAACTGTAAAAAGTGGGGTGCACTTATTTAACAAATACATCTAGAAATTAATCTGTATTTGAAGAAATGACAGTTTATGCTACAGACCTCTTTCTCTTAATCAAAGGTGCTACCAGATCCCTTCCGATATAGTACTGATAAGACTAAGGCGGCTCTGTCTTTAAACAGGAATTAAACTCTTATTAATATATGATTATATGTCTTTAAACAGGAATTAAACTCTTATTAATATATGATAATAAAGGTGTGTGTGTGAAAGACGCTTGACGGTGATCATTCAAGGTGCACTACATCTCCCGCAGAGGATTGGCTTTGTCCTCCTCCTCTTTTGCAACAAAACAGAACACATTACTTTAACATGGAGCCTAATTGATTTTTTCAGAGGCAACCCTAAACGGGTTTAAATTAGGCTTTACTCCCACGGAAGCGTATATATAGGGTCGCAGTCTACAGTGGCCACACTTGGGAGGAGGAGGCCTTTGGGGGGCCTCGATCCGGATCGAAAGCAACCCTTTCCTTGACTCAAGGGGTACCTGGAGCTTCGCTGCTTATCTAAAGGATGAAATCAAAATTGCGGGTGTTGAGGATTTTTAGCGATCAAACCGGAAAATAGTCACTCCTGATACGACTCTCTGTCCCTGACCGACTAACAATAATAATAACTGGTATTAATTATTATTAATAATTACAAAAACTACTGCTGTATTATTATTATTATTATTATTATTATTATTATTATTAAATTCATAGTAGTAATTATTAATAATAATAACAATAATAACTAACAATAATAATAACTGGTATTAATTATTATTAATAATTACTAAAACTACTGCTATATTATTATTATTATTATTATTATTATTATTATTATTATTATTATTATTATTATTATTATTATTAAATTCATAGTAGTAATTATTAATAATAATAACAATAATAACTAACAATAATAATAACTGGTATTAATTATTATTAATAATTACTAAAACTACTACTACTATATTATTATTTTTATTAAATTCATAGTTGTAGTTATTAATAATAATAACAATAATAACTAACAATAATAATAACTGTTATTAATTATTATTAATAATTACTAAAACTACTACTATATTATTATTATTATTATTATTATTATTATTAAATTCATAGTTGTAGTTATTAATAATAATAACAATAATAACTAACAATAATAATAACTGTTATTAATTATTATTAATAATTACTAAAACTACTATATTATTGTTGTTGTTGTTGTTGTTGTTGTTGTTGTTATTATTATTATTATTATTATTATTATTATTATTATTATTATTATTATTATTAAATTCATAGTAGTAATTATTAATAATATTTAATAACAGTTATTATTATTGTTAGTCGGTCAGGGACAGAGTCGTATCAGGAGTGACGATTTTCCGGTTTGATCACTAAAAATCCTCAACACCCGCAATGATTGTTACTACTATTAATTTTCTATTATTGTTGTTGCTGTTATTGTTGCGTGCCTTCAAGTCGCTTCCGACCTAGGGTGACCCGAAGGCGGACCTTTCCTGGGGTTTTCTTGGCAGGATTTGTTCAAAGGTAGTTTTTCCATTGCCTTCCCCGGAGGCTGAGAGAGTGCGACTTGTCCAAGGGTTTCCATGACCGAGCTGGGATTCGAACCCTGGTCTCCAGAGTCCTAGTCCAAAGCTCAAACCACTACGCCATGCTGGGTCTCATCATCATTATTATTATTATTATTAGTAGTAGTAGTAGTAGTGATGATGATGATGATGATAATAATAATAATAATTAAAATAACTCTCCTCCCTCCTCGCCCCCCTTTCGCCTCTGACTGGTCCTGATCCCTTCTACACCCTTCGAGAATTATACTCACTCTTTCTTTCTTTCTT